TACGGAAAGGGAAGCGTAGAACGTTTCTCGATCCCCACTCGACTCCATCAAGCCCAAGTTATAATTACGACAGAGAATCCTAGTGCACTGGAACGAACGGCCGTCTTAATGAACCAGTATGACGTGATTACGCGTTTAACGCCGGCGAAGTTCCACGCGCAATTATTAAGACGTATCGTTAGACGAGCGGCTTCGCAAAGAATTATACACGATTTTCTTGACAACCCTGTAAACGTAATAAATCAGACATCGTCTGAGTCGTGTAGCACTGTACTTGGAGAATGCGGAATGAAAGCGGCCTGAGAAATGTGCATACGCGCTGTCTTTCAAATAGCGAGTTTCCAGCAAGTTTCTAAATTGCTTGCAGCGAGTACGCTTTCGAATAATCCTCGCGTTTCGCGATGCGTATAAGCTGCGAGCTATCGTTACGTTAACTGAACATAAGTTAACTAATACGCTTTATGGATGTGTGCGCGTATACGATCTCTCGACGCACACATTTTCATTCTCCGGAGAAAGACGAATATTTTCCTTCGAGCTTTAAATGGCGGCAAAAGCTTCTCAGTTTTATGTAATACGCTCTTTCTTTGTTTCGAGAAACAGGATATACGTATTGTAGTTCGGTATTGTAGAAACGTTGGATCGTAAGACTTCACTCGCGAGATATTAAACGGAACGACGAAAATAATAGAATAATCGTGATAGACATTGCCGTGCCTCGAGTATATTTTAAATATCTTTCCTTCCATATAATTTGCTCATTTAAGGAGCCATGGGATTTTAAAAGCGCATTCCCTGTGGAAATTAGTAAAATTTGTATTAATAGCGTCGGCGTTCATTTTTGAGTTTCGTCTCGCTTCTCTAACATCAAAGCAACCAATTTTAGTACACATTTATATTTAGTTCGAACATGACGTGATTAATTCCCAGTGGGACTTTCCAATTCTATGATTAACATGCCACATATTACGATTTCACGCAGCGTTATTAATTATTGAAATAAAACAATAAGCTGAGATATTAAACAAAAATTACACTTATTAGCATCGTCGGCTAGTTTTTGTTTTTAGTGCAATCATAAGCATCATACTTCTCGTAAGATAAAAAATATATAAAATTACAGCGACGCACAAAAATTTAGCACATTTTTTGATACACTTTTCATGACAGTCGTTCGAAATTGGAACGTTGTTTGAAGAAATAGCTGGACGAATAAATCTGTACGTTGTACAAAGAAACTCAAACGTTGTTATCGATGACCCACGCTGCCTGAATAGTATATTAACCTTGCTACGTTATTCGGCTCCTTTTCGCCGGAATTGTAGAAGAAATTTCTCCATTGCTAGAAAATTTCTTATATTCGAATTTTATTATACGTATATACGTCATTTCTCGCTTTAATTTTATGTCAATGACTTTCTTAAAACATTCGAAATAAACAAAACGTTCTAACCCTCGAAAACGACAAATATTCTCGTCATTGTTATAAATTATAGGCCTGTCTATTATCCGAATTAACGTTTAATAAATATAGCGAATATTTTCGTGTACGTATAACGTTGATTACGAAACACTGCCGGACGCGGACTGTTTCACGTTAATTACGTCTCCCTTCTCTCCTTATTTTACTGCATCTTCCTTGAAAACGCGGTAAAGAGAAAATTTTGTGTAGTTCGCGGCTATTAAAATATTTCGCGAGCAGCTGTTGAGAGCGTGGCGAAGCAGTCAACGAGAAGGGATGAAGCGGGGAAAATTCTCCATGAAACCCGGCTATGAAAACATCTTTCTTAACTAACGCTTCGTTCAAATCTCGACCATCTTGTTGGCAGCAGATACGATTATGCTAAAAGGCGTGCAACACGAAAACAGATGTAACTCACGACGAAGTTACCTATATGCATGGACGTAGAAACACTGGAATCTAATTACGGTTCCGTGCCTTTTCGCAAATGAAACGCATCATCCGTAGAACGCTAACGTTAATCTCTCCCTCCTCTCTGACGATTCCCGCGGAACTTACGCGTGTTTTCTTGGATCTTTCGAATTAGCGGAATTCTCCGAAAATGTCTATTATATTTATTATTTATCGTCGTTTACTCGTTTTATGACGATATCCTCGTTGTTTCGTTTGCCTTTCTTTCGAGAAAATGTTTCCTGACTTTTACTTCCGAAACTTGTTAATACGTGTTGTTTTAAATATATAGTAATTAAATTGTAGATTACGCCAGATGTATACAGTAATTCGTGTTTTTCATTTTTCATACGATAACATTTTTAATATTTAACGTCAGTGGGGCCGTAATACTTATCCTGTGTTTAAGATACTATATACTAACTTTTTATTAAATATACATTTGCCATAAATATATTGTCATCTTTATATACACGTTCAGATTGGTTTCAAATTTTACCAATATGATCACAACGATCGTTGTCTCGTTACAGCGTTAACGAAGTTTCTAAATGTTTTACTATAATGCATACAATGTAAATATAGTAGTTCTCTGTAGATCCAAGTATAGACAAATAGTTAAATTTCTTGACATGCACGTTAACTGAAACTTAGATGTGGGTGGAAACAAGCGAACCACCATGTTACTATGCGTTTGTTATGTTAATCATTGGCCTGGCAACTACGCGACGAGTACAATGCGACTGTTATGCTAACTCTTGGGCTGAGAATGCTCATAACGTGGTTACAAACGCAGATCCGTATACGATGCAGATGCTGCAATGACACCGACATGAGCAGCTTGCGCGTTAATCAACATTAAAAGGAGAATACATTAATCGAGCAACGCTTTGAGCGATTAAGAATCTTCGAGTGATCTTAATTTAAAAAGAAAAATTGTTGGCTTCGTTCGCGATGTTGCTCACATAGAAAGTACGTCTTTCAGTGTACCTGTCGCCATCCGTTATAATTAATTACTCAGCAGATTCTTTTTTGCCAAAATATCTCTGTTATGTCTCTACAATTACATACTTTCTTCCGTTAGAAGTGATTTTATTTTATTTTAAATAAAATGGAAAATGTCTTGAGAGATATGTCGTATGAATGTAGTGAAATAGTGGGAGTAATGGTCAGACACCATAGCTGTGACTCACATGATGAAATTTCCATTACATGCCAACAATAATTACGTGCAAATAATGAAAAAGGTTTGTCTAATGTAATAAAATATCGTAGAGAGTGTGCGATAAGAACTCTAAAAATCTGAGAATTGGGAAACTATTTTTGAATAATTAAATATGTCTTGAACATTGAGATTAGAATGACTAGTATCTATAGTAGAATACGAGTATAACAATCAGACCACCGAATTACATCGCGTATATGGGTTATCTTACTTTAACTTTGAATCATACAACTCCGCTTAATTAAATGTTTATTATTTATCACAAAGCTCACGCTCCCCTCTCGTAACTTATACCAACGTTGAAATTAATTTGTAGCAAATTAACACATTGCATAAATATCCCTTTAATCTGTCTGTTGCATCTGTTTTGTAGAAATTCTGCTTTCACGTTGACCGTTTTGTACATAAACCTGGAGGAAAGATAACCGTAAGCGTTTAATATATCGCGAGGTACATCAAGGCAGGAAATAAATAACTCAGTATCATCTGGTTGTATTTTTACGCTCGTAAAGAAAATCTGCTTGAAAAATGTTCCCTCGTATTTACGCTCTATTCTTTGTTTAGTGATTTAGTAATCTTCATTTTACATGAGACTATTCGAAGAGGCGTGCAGTAGTCCGAAGAAATATTTTGTGGTCGATTAGTCCAAAAAGACGAGCTACCATTTATTATTACTATTACACAAATAAAACATAAGAAAAGAAAGTTAATTTCTCTTTTGAACTTATCAGAGTTACAGTAAGATTTGATTTTTCATGAAATACCGAAGCAACGAATTCTTATTAAATGAGATTTTAGGAACCGTCAAATGAAAGTCCTGTAATTCTTCTCTAACTTTATGAAACCATTTTAGCCGAATGATATATTTATACCGTATAAAATGGAAAGATATTACAGGTATATATTGCAAAACCAATATTGGTATTTTTAAAATTAATATTTCAAAGGATAATGCATCTCACGAAACACGAGGTTCTACACCTTTTTATTGTTTCACTTCGAACATACAGAATTCAGCGTTACATCGTTAAAACTTTAGTCAATTTAAAATTGGTTCGCAAATATTCGAAACACCATCGTTTTCCATGAAAAAATAATTACTGTTCATTACGGTCAGGCGGTTGAGCGCGAATTTATTTTCGCAAAACTTCGATCGTTAAAAATTTCACATATACGCGTAACGCGATTATTCTAAATTTCAGAAAGATATTATTTATTCCACTTGCTATCACCTATTCAAAATCCATGTCGATTCAATATCATTTCCCAAAATTACGTTTCTTCTCCACACTGCTCGTCTTTTAAACTTCCTTTCCTCCGTTAAATACACGTCACAAACTTACAGTAATATCGCAGCACGACATCTTTCTCGAACAATTTCTCCTAAACACACTCTTTAAACGGGAGATACGTTAACGAGCTCGATGGCAACCGATCCGCCGTAACAAGCGTAAAAACGCTTTGTCGCTGGAGAATTCGTTCGCGGGTCGTCGCGCTTTAATTGAACCCATCGCGAATTCACAACTGCATAAAGTGGAATAACCCGTCTGTTCAAAAAATGATATCCCCTTGTGCCCCTCTTCTTATCTTTCCTGTCATCTATCTCTTACTCTTTCGTCGTTACACGAACGTATCGCGTTTTTCGCGAATTTCGTGCATTTCCGGCGGCAAAAGGAAGCCCGCGAGGCTGAACCTAGCGAGTCGCGCGAGACGTCGACACAAGCGAATCGAGAGAAACGCGGAGAAACAGAGAAAGGGAGACACAGGGATGGTTATACGCGCGCAGGAGCGTAACGCAAGCGCGCTGGGCCACATCCCCGTTACCGAGGGTGCCACCCCGCTGATCGAGGCCTGCCAGCCGAGAGACGCTCAGTCCCGTCTCGCTCTCCTCCGGAGGAAACCGGAAATAGTTAGCCGCTCAGCCGTACTGGCGGGAAAGTCGATGTTCTCGCGATCAGTTTCGATCTTTTCCACGCCTTCGTCGTGTTATTTAGGCAAATTCGATTGATCGATTCGTGCGCAACGAGGGAGATGGCGGTTTTGATCGTTACGTGGTGAATTTGTATTCACGTAAGTGAATTTGTTTGCAAGCAGGCCGTACAGTGGTGCGACAGTTTCGTCAGTGAATTGTGGTTGCGCTCAGCAACGATACAGTGGTCACTCTTGTCACAGGTTAGAGGAGGTTTCTACAGTTTTCGCTTGAAAACAAGTGTTGCATAGTGGTTCGCGATTGTTACCGGCGAGTTTCCTTTAGTCTGTGGTGATAATAGGAAGATCGTGAGGCCGCGTGATAAAGCGCAGAAAGGAGCTACGAAGAAGCTTGGTCACGGCCGAGATTCGCGAATTAATTACGCGCAGGCACGAATTCGCCGAGTGTCGTGGTAAGTGGTGGAATATTCTTGTCGAACCATGGCAGGAATACACTTTCCGAGTTCTCCTTTTCGGTGAATTTTTCCTGAATTATACGAATACAGGCTGATTCGCGACGTTGAACGAACCGAGGATAAACGAAGGGCTTATAGAAAAGATAAAAATATAAAAATTATGCTCATTAGCAGACGCATACGAGTTACGAAATTACGACATTGTATCCATCGATGATTTTTTGATAGATCCTCGGTGAATCGTTTGAGAATAGGCTGAGTTGCGATTTTAAACGGATGAACGAATCGAGTATATCTCAGAGGGAAGATAATGGGATAGAAAATGCAAAATTGCGAAGTTGTATTCATCGATGGTTTTTCTGTGCATCTCTGATGAATTCTTTGAAAACGTACCGATTCGGATGAATGAATTGAGAACAAGCTTAGAGAAAAGATTAAAATATACAAATTACGAAGTTTCGTAAAGTGAAATTACAAAGTTATACCTATTAATAGTTTCTTCTTGTTTTCTCAACGCTGTTTGGTAATTTCAAATGAATGGACGAATCGAGAACTACTAAAAATCTTATGAAACAGATTAAAGCATACAAATTAATCAATAGATCGAATTAATGAATTTTATGGGATGAAATTGTATCTATCAACGTCTCTGCTTTAACAAAGAATTTTAGTCGTAATTTTATACGGAGAAATGTATCGCGTATCTTCGCGAGACTCTCTTTTGTTTCTATAGTATCGAATTTTCACTGATAGCCAGGACAGCTACTGATCTGACGAACACGAAATCATCGTTTTTCCAGCCACGAATTCTCGGCAAAGTGTTGCAATTACGCCGGGTTAAATTAGTAAGTTGCGGTATTCGAACTACGCAGCGGAGTTAATTAACTGAGTGGCAGGCTCAGCGAGAAAAATCATTCTGGTTGGCTGAGTGGCGCGCGGAGAGAAAATTCCTGGGACGAAAATTCGAACGTTTCGTTTTGCCGAATGGAACGCGTTTCGTTTCTCCGGTCCACGTGAAAATTTCTCGAGGAACGCTGAATGCCTCCACGATATGAGTTTTATTTTGCTCACGAAGAAATTTCACGCGTTTCACGCCATTGTAACGTTCGTTCTCTTGGCGTTCGTTTTATCTGGCTCGGGTATAATCTAATATGAAAATTTCATCATGAGAAGCTTTTTCGACAATTTTTCCTGGCCAGCACAATGAGAAAAAGGCACGAAAGTTCGTTCCGTCCTTTCGTTTAAAGGGAAGAAAAAAGAAATCTATCGACTTCCAGTTCGAGATATCTTTCGCTTTGGATCGGGACTCTTCCTTTTTCTTGCGGGGACACCGTCGTTTCCGTCCTCGGCTCCAGAACTCGATAAACTTTGCCCGATTCAGTTTCGCAACGCGTTTCACTGTGCTTCTTATCGTCCGCTGTTTCTTCCACCCATCTGTTTTCTTCGCCTGTGAAAATTCCGTTTTTCCTTGATTTCCCATTGTTGGGATCTGTGTCCGCTGGCTTGGAAAATGTTCAGCAGAACTAACCCAATATTATATCAAGCCACTGATTATCAAGTTTAATATAGATAATTTCAATCGATTTAATATAACCTAATATATATAATACGATATTGAATTACGAAAATTCGTGTTATACTTGATTATAGTGGAACATACATTTCTAGAGAATAGTAAATGCGAAAAATATGTTTCGGTTGGAAGTTGATGAGAAAATGGATGGAAATAATAATCGGATCGGTTCGAGAATTATTACGGCACAGGAATTCTCATTAAGTAGAAAATTTTATTTTATTGAAAGTATAAAGCGATGGGGGATCATTTTGGCCATGGTTAATTAACCTTGGCGAGATTGTGTTGTACAGTGTGCACAGTGGACATAGTGTAATGCTGTGCGTTGTCATCCGTTTTAGACCGATACGAGTGAATCTGAATGTTACACGAATAACGTGTTTACTAGACAAAGAGAAAATAATAGAAGATTAAATATTCGTTTCCATCAGAAATGAAATCAAACGTTCGTGTCTACTATGAAACTTTAGCGAAATGCTCGATATTATAAACTTTACTGATTGGATGACAACGATTAATACTTTTACAGGTAACCAAAGTACTCTAGGATTATCCAAAAGGTATATAAATAAGTTTGAAGCTTTAAATTTTAAACTTTCGCATAAATTTCCGAATATCTTTCTAAAGTATTCGAAAAATGAAAACCTATACAATTTACCAAGAGGTAAAAATATCTTCGTATTTCATCTTATTATCAAATGAAATTAAATCTTAAAGTTATTTATCGCGTATCTTTCAAATGATCTTCGCTTACTATAAAAAAAGAAATAAAGACGAGAAGCTCATCGTGAAGTCAATTTCGATCCAGCAGAAATATTCGCCAGTTTGAATTTCCAAAGCAATTTTTCACAAACGCATCGTGGACGTATCATGTGTTTAGTAAATTTTAAGTAAGTCGAGATAGGAATTGATCGTTGCAATAATCGCAAGAAAATACGAGGTAATAAAGGTAAAATAACAAAATGTGGACGATAGGAGGAAAATAATAAGGAGGGAATGGTGTATAATTCCAGACCAGCGAGGCTGCTCCAGATATTAGTTTTAATGTCGCGTCTCTTCATTCGTTAAAAGTACCGTTCTTCGTTAGAGATTCACGAGCTCTTTAATTCCATTCCTTTTCCCTTCTTTCATAGGAAAAAAAGTTCAGGGCCGGTAAGGTTGCAATTATAATGATACTTGTAACCTTAAAGGTAAACCGTACTCGATTTATCATGTAATCCATCGTGCGCTCCACGCTGTACCCGACACTATTTCCCAAAGCGTCCCTTTGTGCGGCTTGTCATCTTTTACCGTTTGATATTCAAACGAGGCCAACGAGCTTAAAGGGTTCGGTAAACTTGTAGCTCTGGTATAATTAAATGTTACGTGTCATCGAAAAGTTGGACAGTTTAACGACAAAGGAGCGAAGATTTGTGTACGGTATAGACGAAAATTACGCAAAAATTTTGTTATTTATAAATGAAAATTGCGTTCATGAAAAAGAGATTGATTTTTGGAGAAGGCGTGTGAATTATTTGGAAATTGACGCTGATGTGTGATACAGTCGCTATATTTTAAATGACATATGATTTTGATAATTGTCCAAATAGTGTTTCATTTTTCCTGAAAAACTTGCTTCAGTCACTTTTGACATAAATGTGCAATATGTCGTTCACTGTACCTTCTCCTTACTCGACGCTCGATCATCTGACCCAGCATGTACTTGGAAAACACCTTGATCTTTTCATTACCCATTGTCTCACAATTATCTTCCAAGTGGTAGCAAAGTGACACGGTATCCCGTCATCCTGTCTCCGGAAGTCGACGTTTCGTCACGGAACTCGGTGATTCCATTAACCTTACTCTGCGCGTTTCCGTGGCGCGAACGAGAGCACCACGATATCGGAGATCGTTTCGTCGAGATAGCAGCGATAATAAACGACGAGTGGGAAGGGATTGGATGAAATAGTCGCGGAGAATCCGCGGGAAGGACGAGAGGGAGAGAGAGAGAGAGAGAGAGAGATAGAGAAGTGGGAGTAAGGGTAGAGGGTTGGCGTCAACTTAATACTCGAGAAACCTCGAGGGGCGAAGAGTTAGTCCTGCTTGAAATGCAGCCTGCGCCTGTCGCAGAACAAACCCCCTTTTCACCCCTTCTAACCCCATTCCTATCCCCTAAGCAAGCCCTGCAGGAAACACAGGCTGTAGCACGAAAGGGTTGCTGCTTTCCCCGTCGAATCTTATTTATCTTCTTCGTTCTTTTCATGCTCCCTGTTCCTCCCATTCTCCAGTCAGTCGCAAGCAACGTTTGTCACCCTTCCAAGCCTTTCTCCTTTAGCCTTTTAAGGGTCGGAGGTTGGGATGCACGGGCTGAACGGTGGATCAGTTTCGATTTGGATGTTCTACAACAGGGTTTTGTATTCGAGCTGGATTGATAGGGGATCGAGGGTTCGTGAAGCTGTTGCGTGGCTGGTTTTGTTCTTGTATTTCCAAGTTTATTCTATTTTTTAGCACTTGAGGTTTCTTCGTCGCAGACTAATAGAGCGTGGACGTTTGTTCATTTATAGGGAACCGAACGTTGGAGAAGAAGATCTTGAGTTCTGGTTGCATCGATAGTCAATTGAGAGTTCGCAAAAGTGTTGCATGGTTTTTCGTTGGTTTGGTCCTTATGTTTGAAATAAATTTATTTTATCGTAATGTTTTGGGATTTGTTTAGTAAAGATTGGTAAAGTGCGGATATTTAGGCCACTGTGAATTAATATTTCGCTACTGTGTCGTAATAATCTGAATAATTTTAAGTGTTTCGATTTTGCTATACTTAGATACTCGCAATATTTTAGAAACAAATTTTTAACGCAGAAGAAACTATATTCAAAAGTTTCTACAGGAATATATTGCCCGGTTGTTACCAATTTGTTTAATGGCTTCGAAATATAACATTTAACATAATCTAACTTTTCAAATGTATAATTTCCCCGCGTTCGTTTCACTCTCTTTCCTCGTTAGAAAGAACAATGAGTCACGCTAGGCTTCGTTTTCATCGAAATAGTTTGGTACTCTTCGCTCGAACGTTATGTTATTGGCAATATTTAAAGATATCACGTCCAGCTCTCGAACGTTCCCATAACACCTCCACTTTTCCTCCAGTGTAACGTCGCGTGAGAAGCGAACTATGATATGTGGCGAACTTTACGTAACTCAGAAACTTTACATAAATCTATATAACTCTTTTCCATCACAGTTGAAAAGAACATGTAGTATCGGGGAAAAGGGCCTAAGAAACATCAAGTTAACCATGAACAATGTCGCGAGAGCCGAGGCGCCGTCGGGTCCATCAATGTGTCGTCGGTCTTTTCAATTGTATAGTTTTGTAGAAAAGGCCTACGTGACCCTGGCAACGAGCCTCTGCGGAACACGTATGTGGTGGGCCTAGGAAAAGACAAAGGGA